AGGAAGGAAGGAAGGAAGGAAGGAAGGAAGGAAGGAAGGAAGGAAGGAAGGAAGGAAGGAAGGAAGATAACACGAAATCCAGCCATGCAGCACAAATCCTCCTGAGCAGCAGGCGGGCTGGCCTGGGAGTGCCACTTTGCCCCAACTCGGCTCCTGGCATCGGCCCGTGCCATGCATCAGCCCCCGGCACCATGGCAGCATGACCCCGTGCACCATCATGGCCCCGGGTCATCCCTGGTCCATCAGGGAGGTGCATCAGGTCCTTGTGTGTCCCCCATGAGTGACACAGGGGCTGTGCTGGGCTGTGCATGCTCCCTTGGGACCAAGGGGACGGGATGCTCTGGCTGTAGCCAGCAGTGAGCACTGCTCCTCGTGTTCCAGGGACAGGGTTGTGCCAGTGCTGGTCACTCTGGTGGCCCCAAGTCCCTGCCCTCTCCCTTCCCTTCACACCATCCATGAGCCCTGGGCACAGCACAGCTTTGCCAAGGGCAGGTGTCCAGCCTCAGCCATGCACCGACAGCCCCGTATCGATTCCCATCTCAGAGGCAGTGGCTGGAAACTTCTTCAGGGTCAGGAGAGCACATCCAGCAGGGACGTGGCAGGGACAGTGAGTGGGCAGGGCCCCTGGGGCCAGCCGCAGCCACCTCCCTCTCCGGGGGAAGGCTGCAACCTCCCTGCTGTCGACAGCTTGATTTGATGCCATTAAAGCGTTTGCTCGGAAACAGCCTGCATCAGGCACAACATCTGGCACGGCCCTTCCCCGGCAACGCCGTGGCAGATCCGAGAGCCTCCAGCGCTGCCAGCGGCTCCGGGTGCTGCTGGTGACGAGCGTCCCCTCCCAGGGACAGCCCGGTGCCCGGGTGGCCCACAGGGACACAGGACCGTGGCTCTGGGCTTGTGGGATTTCAGCTGGAACACTCCTTTTCCCTCTGTGCATCCCCACCTCTGCGTGCCGGTGACTGATCCTTCCCCCCGCACCATGCGCTTTTGCTCATCCCGACATTGTCCCAGCTGTTTGGAAAATTAACAATTAATTAATAATAATAATTAATTAATCGCGATAATTAATAATAAAGGAGAAAGGGGAGAAAAGCTCCCCCTAAAGCTTCAGCCCAGGGTCTTATCAAGCCCGATTTAATTTTTCAAACCCACTCCCACACAGCATGAAGGGCTCTTTGCTCCCATTAATTCTCCCACCACAGCCCAGGGCTGCCCCACAGCCTGGCTTTGATTTTCCTGCCTTTGTTCCAGCAGCACTGGCACAGGATACCATGCTGTGGTAGGGGCTTTTGAGCCAGCTTTCCAGATTTTTGGACCCATCATTTCCCTGGAATTTAGGCTTTAGCTGCATCCAGTTTCCCACAAAACCTGCAAGATGCACCTGCAATATGTGGCAGTGACATGGAAAACATCCCAGAAAGGGATGGGGAACAGGGAGGGATGAGGTGCTGGGCTGGTGTGGGTGGCACTGAGCCTGGCTGCAGTGGTGCCTGAAGACACTGTGTGATTGGTGCATGCCTGAGCAGCTGGTGTTTGTGGAAACAGAATTAAATAAAGCCCCATGTGCATGTAGACCCCAAAAAGGTGCTGAGGTGTTACTGGTGGGTGCTGCAAGGAAAAGGGCTGAGCTGGGACCTGTCAAACCAGCAGTGTGGTTTATGTGGCTGTGGCAGAACTGCCAGCAAAGGGACCGTGTGGTGTTTGACATGTTGTGGCAGTGGCATGCGGGTGATGGAGGGACATGTGGGGACACACATGAATCCATGTCCCAGCTCAAGGCTGCCTGGCACCACAGGGAAGTGTGCCAGGAGCTGAGGTCATACAGATACTGCCAGCACCCTGTGCCCTCCTCTCGTTACACTCATTGCCCTGATGGAGGCTCAGGGGACAGCACTGGTGTCACCACTGTGTCACTGCCAAGGGAGCAGCACTGGGGATGTCCCTGGACAGCCACAGACCCTAACCCAGGCTGACAAATCTCTTACCTCATCCAGGCTTGTGTGCACCCCAGTACCTTCAACCCACTGGTACTGAGGACAGGCAGGATGCACCCCCTGCCACCAAGCTCTTCATTAGCCCCCACAAGCCACTTGACTGCCTTAAGAGATCAAACCAGTGACCCAGGTGTGTCCCTGCTCCCAGAGCAAGCGGGCTGAGGAAATGGGGAGCTTTAGTGACGACGGTGGCGAGGCGCTCGGTAATGACGGCTGCTGGCGGGAGCAGACAGCTTCCAGATGGCATCGCGCCGGGGCAGGGGGATCGCTGGGGCCGGGGGGGCTGTGGAGGCAGCAGCCGGCAGAGACGGGCAGAGCCAGCAAGTTGAAATGACTTTTTTTTGCAGCAGAGCCTGCGGTTCTGGCCCTCCGCGCTGCTGCTTCCAGTAATTAGCCCAATAATTAAAAAGAATGGCGATAAGAGGGGTATGCAGAGGCGCTCGCAGGATCTCGGCATCCCTGGGGAGGTGTGTGAGAAGGGCGGGAGTGATTTGTGCGTGTGAGGGGTGGTGGATGTGTGAAACACAAAGCAGAGGGACCCCAGGATGGTGTGGGGGGTCACTGCACTGCGTGATCAGGCAGGGAGGGGTGGGCAGCAGGAATGGGCAGCTTCAGCAGCAGGGACAGGAGGGTGGCTGAGCCCACTGAAGATGGGGAGGAGACAACCAGACCCCAGCACCCTCCTGCCCATGGGCACCGTGCTGCCACGCAGGGAGAGGGGATAGAGGAGGATGCAGGACGCTGCAAGGTGGGGGTGCAGCGCCCAGACAGCGTGAGGCACGGCAGCACAGCACGATGCAGAGTGATGCGAGGTGACACAGAGCCAGCTGCTGCCATCCAGGGTGGCACAGTGCACACGGATGGGATGCAGGGCAGTGGGATGCCACACAGGGCAATGAGATGCAGGGCAATGCAAGCCAATGCAATGCAGGGCAGCACGATGCAGGGAGATGAAATGCAAGGTGATGTGGTGCAGGGTGATGTGAGGTGAGGCAGGAGGAGGCGATGCAGGGCAATGCAGTTCAGGGCGATGCAATGCAAGGCAACACAATGCAGGGAGTCAAAATGGAAAGTGATGTGATGCAGGATGAGGCAAAGCAATGTGATGTAGGGTGATGCAAATCAGGGTGATGAAATGCAGGGCAATTCTGGGTGATGCAGTTCGGGGTGATGCAAGGCAACAAGATGCAGGGAGGTGAAACATGAGGTGAGGCGTTGGAGAGCAGCGCAAGGCCATGCAGGCAATTCAATGCACCACGGGGTGATACCAGACAATGCAGGGCAATGAGAGGTGATGCAGCATCACATGCCGTGCTCCAGGGCAGCCCTGAGACGATGCCCAGCGGGGCAGTGCCCAGCAGCTGAGGTGAGGCGAGGCGAGGCAGTGATGTCCCCATGGTGCAGGTGACACCGGCCCTCTCGGACCCTGGGCCACCGCGGTGGCGACGCTTCATTTGAATTCTCGCCTCTCTCTCTTCGCAGATAACGAGCCCGCGCCATGCAGTCCTTTCGAGAAAGGTGTGGTTTCCATGGCAACCAGCAGAGCTACCAGCCGACTTCACAAGATACATCACGCCTGGAGAATTACAGGCATCAAAGTCAGGCAGGGCCGAACTGCGAGCGGCAGAGGCTGGTGGCGAAGGAGTACTACAGTCAGCAGCAGCTGCCGTACGCGGGCTATGAGAACAGCGCCGTGGAGAAATACCACCGGGGAAACAAGCAATTAGCGGGGCAGCAGCTGCAGGGCAGGCCGGCCTTTTCCAATTACACTGTGCAGGAGAACAGCCCTTATCCGGCCCGCTATTCCGGGGACGAGAGCCTGCAGGCGTGGGGTGGCCAGCCACAGGCACTGCCCGGCGGCGTGGCCAAGTATGAGGACAACCTGATGAAGAAGACAGTGGCGTTGGCGGGTGGGCGGCCGTACCATGAGCCGGCGGCCACCTCGCTGCCCTTCCGGACTCACTTCCAGCAGCAGCCGCAGCAGCAGCAGCAGCAGCAACAGCAGCAGCAGCAGCAGCCGCCCGCGCTCCCCTACCCCAAGCTGCAGCGGCAGAAACTGCCCAACGATGTCTCCTCACCCATGCCCTTCTCACAGAGCCCTCACTTCGGGCAGCACTCCCAGTCCTTCCCTGCCTCCTCCACCTACTCCTCGGTGCCGGGGGGCAGCCAGCCGGCACACTCCTACAAGAGCTGCACGGCGCCCTCGGGGCAGCCGCCGCTGGAGCGGCCCCTGGGTAGCGCTGCCAGCCTGGCCCCTGGCCCCCGTGTGCCCAACCTGCACGGCTACCAACCCAACCGCATTGGCTACGAGCAGCCCCCACAGCCGCCGCCGCAGCCCCCGCAGCCGCCACCACCACAGCCCCCACAGCCACCGCAGCCCCCGCAGCCCCCACAGCCCATGCAGGGGCGGCATCACGCCTCAGAGACCCTCCACTACCAAAACCTGGCCAAGTACCAACATTACAACCAGCCAGGCCAGACCTACTGCCAGGGCGATGCGCCGCCCGTCCGGACGCCGGAGCAGTACTACCAGACCTTCAGCCCCAGCGCCAGCCACTCGCCGGCTCGCTCCGTCGGCAGGTCCCCGTCCTACAGCTCCACTCCCTCCCCTCTGATGCCCAACCTGGAGAACTTCCAATACAGCCAGCAGCCCCTGAGTGCTGGTGCCTTCCCGGCCGGCATTGCTGACCACAGCCATTTCATGCCGCTGCTGAACCCTTCTCCCACTGACGGGACGAGCCCCGACACTCAATCTGGGAACTGCAAAAACTTGCAGAAGGAGAAGCTGCCCGAAAACCTGCTGTCAGATCTGAGCCTGCAGAGCCTGACAGCACTCACCTCCCAGGTGGAGAACATCTCCAACACTGTCCAGCAGCTGCTGCTCTCCAAAGCGGCTGTGCCCCAGAAAAAGGGCATCAAGACCCCAGCAAGGACCCCTGAGCAGCTCAAGGGGCAGCACTGCAGTCCTGAGAGCAGCACCTACTCGGCAGAGCAGGTGGGGACCCCCCTGTCCGACCCGCTGAGCACCCCCCAGTCTGTCCATGCTGAAACACAGGACGCTGACTATCTCAGTGGGTCAGAGGACCAGCTGGAGAGGAGTTTCCTGTACTGCAACCAGAACCGCAGCCCTGCACGAGTCAACAGCAACTCCAAGGCAAAGCCTGAGTCAGTGTCCACCTGCTCTGTGACCTCCCCAGACGACATGTCCACCAAATCAGATGACTCTTTCCAGAGCATCCACGCCACCCTGCCCCTGGAGACCTTCACCAAGTATGTGAGCAATGAACGGGACTGCCCTCGACTGCTCCTCAGCGCCCTGTCCCAGGAGGAGCTGGCTTCTGAGATCATCGTCCTGCAGGATGCCATCAGTGAGAAGGCAGACAAAGCCTGGGCCAACTTGCCCATGCTGGGCAAGGAGACCACCAAGTCCCCCTTCCAGATGGAGAACCACCGGCCCAGCCTGGACTCCATGGTGAAAGGTGCCTGGCCCAGCCAGGGTGACTCCAGCACGCTCACCGAGCCCCTCAAGCTGGACAAAGCTTCAGGGGCCAGCACAGGGAAGGACTTTAGTGAGGAGGTGTACGAGGGTCCTCAGGTGGAGTTTCCAACCACCGAAAGCAAGGATGTGCTGAAGGACGCTGCCCCACTGGCCTTCAACTCCAAGCCCAGCATCCCAGCAGCGACTTCAAGCGCGGGAGCCACCAGCTACAGCTGCTACTCAAATACCACCGCCAACTCGGTGGCGTCTGAGAATGCCATGGAGCATTTTGAGTGGCCGGAGGAGAGCCTGGGTGAGGCCTGCCTGCGGTGGAAGGATCTCCAGGCCACCGACCTCCCCAAGGGCTTGTTTCCCAGCAAATTGGTGAGCTCCTGCAAGGAGAAAAAAAACGCCTGCGGCTTGGACCTGTGCGATGGAGAGCAGCCAGCCAAGAGTGAGCCGGTCCAGGACTTTGGCCAGCAGGTGATGGAGGAGGAGGAGGAGACACTGACCTATGATGAAGCAACAAAGGCAGACAGCGAAAGGTGGCTGCAGGACACCCGGCACTGCTGCTCAGCTGGGGACTTTAGTGAGATCCCCATCATCTCCTCGCCGGATCTGAAGGAGTCAGACCTGGAGGCAGAGGAGTACTCCTCACTCTGTGAGCTGGCTGGCTCGGAGCAGAAGTCAGTGACATACGATGCCTCACCACCAAAGCCCCCAGAGATGCCAGCTGTGCTGTCCTCCAGCGAGGTGCCTGTATCTGCCGAGGAGACCGTCAGCACAGTGGAGAAGGAGAGCTCAGCTTCCACCCCACGCCTCTCTGGCCAGTCTGTTATCCTGCTGGGCCCTGCTGTGGGCACGGAGACCAAGGTGAAAAGCTGGTTCAAATCCTCCCTGCCCCATATCCAGCCTGAGGAGGAGAATGGCGGAGGGGAGACATCCCACCTGGAGGCGGCCGATGCTGAATCCACCTCATCGGTCATGGTGAAGCAGCAACTCACGCCTGAAAATGTGCTGAGGAAGATGGAGCCTGTGTCACGGGGCAAGAGCCTCCGCAACAAGAGGGTCCACTGCCGGCTGCCAGAGGGGGATGGCCCCGGCAGCACCGTGCTGAGTCCGTTCGATGAGCTGTCAGCAGCCAGCCTGGGGCCAGACGGACAGACAGAGGCACCAAGCAAGAGCACCCAGAGCCAAACACCCCGGTTTCCAGCCGAGGGGCTGCCAGCACGCATGTGCACCCGCTCCTTCACCGCCCTGGCCGAGCCCCGTGCCCCTGCCCCGCTGGAGGGACTGAAGGCCCCCACGCACCAGGAGAAGCTGGGGAAGAAACCCGGCTGTGGCGTGAAGCAGCGAGTGGCTTTCAAAACCAGGAAGCGCAACAGCCGGCCGGCCCCCAGGGTGGTCCAAAACGCCAGCGATGCCACCCTCCTGGTGCCCGGCTTGGTGGTGGCGGAGGAGGTGGCAGGGCCGACACCGCTGGAGGGGGACGCGGTGGAAGCCGGGGAGAGGGACCAGCGGTCGATGATCCTGCGCTCCCGCACAAAGACACAGGAGGTTTTCTACACCAAGCGGCAGAGGGGCAAGCGGGCAGCTGATGTCCGGCTGAAGAACTGCAAGGCGCCCAAGAAGCTCATATCCAACAACCACCTCCCACCTGCTTTCAAGCTGCCAGCACCAGGCAGCCCCCACAAGGAGGGCAAGGTGGGTGCCCGGATGAAGCTGCCCAAAGCAGGGCCGGGCGTGGGGGGCAAGATGTCAGAGCGGCCGCTGCACTCACTGAAAAGAAAGTCCACCTTCATCTCCCCCATCCCCACCAAGAAGAGGAACCTGGTCCTGCGGAGCAACAGCGGTGGCGTGAAGGAGGAGAAGCCAGAGGGTCCCCCCAGCCTCTTCAAGAAGATGCCGGTGGCCAAGAAGGTGAAAGCCAAGCTGCCCACCAAGAGCTCTGGCGAAGCCATCCTGAAGCCCCCGCTGCCAAAGGAGGCCCCTGATGTCTGCATCAAGATCACCTCCCGGGCGGCCTTCCAGGAGGCCACCAAGACCAAAGTGCTGCCTCCCCGCAAGGGCCGCGGCCTCAAGCTGGAAGCCATCGTCCAGAAGATCACCTCCCCCAACCTGAAGAAGTTCACCTGCAAACCAGCAGCCACAGCAGTGGCAGCCACAGTAGCTGCCTATGGCTCCTCCCTGAGCCCGGCTGGGGCGGAGCGGGTGGTGAAGCACAGTGGGCTGGCTGTGGCAGTGGGCGAAGCGAGGCTGCCCAGGCTGGGGGCAGCACAGAAGGTGCCCACAATGCCGGTGGCTGAGCCGCTCTGCCGGAACCCCAATGGCCGAGCGCCAAAGGGGAAGCCGGGTGGTGGGAAGAAGCTGCCCCATGACGGCTGCCAAGGGGAGGCTTGTGGGTCAACGCCAGGAACCCAGTCCAGCCCCAACATGGTAGCCAAAAACATGGGGCTCCTGCCCAAGAAGAGGAACCGCAAGGGCAAAGCAGCAGCGCTGGGCATGGCCAAGGCACCCCTGAGCCCCGCACTGGCACCACCGCTGCCCCGGGAGCGCGTTGCCGGCCCGGGTGGCGCGGAGGAGGCGCCTCGGGAGAAGAAACCAAAGACTGAGGAGAAGGAGGCGGGGAGCAGCGACGGCCCTGCCGAGGGGCGCTCCGCCGCCGGGCCGGCGCGGGGCCCGAAGCCGCGGGCCAACCACTCCAACTACAACGGCTACTCCAAGCGGCAGCGGAAGCGCCTGGGCCACGGCAAGGCCAAGGCGGTGCCGGCGCGCTGCAAGAGCCGCGGGAAGCGGCGGCGGCAGCCCCAGCAGGCCCCGCTGCTGCACCCCGCCGAGCCCGAGATCCGCCTCAAGTACATCTCCTGCAAGCGGCTGCGGGCGGACAGCCGCGCCCCGCCCTTCGCTCCCTACGTCCGCGTGGAGCGGCGCGGAGACTTCACCACCGCCTGCACCGTGGTCAACTCGCCCGGCGACGAGGCGCGGCTGCAGCGGGGACCGGCCGGGCCGGCGCCGCGGCCGCGGGCGGCGCTGCCCGCCTCCTCCACCATGCACATGGGGCCGGTGGTGTCGAAGGCGCTGAGCGCCGCGTGCCTCGTCTGCTGCCTCTGCCGCAACCCCGCCAACTACAAGGACCTGGGGGACCTGTGCGGGCCCTACTACCCCGAGGACTGCCTGCCCAAGAAGAAATCCCGGCTGAAGGAGAAGGCGCGGGCGGAGGGGCCGGGCGAGGACTCGGCCGTGCCCGAGCGGGCGCCCCGCGGGCCCGAGGGCGGCTGCGGGAAGGCGGCGCGGCCGGAGGCGGCGGCCGAGGCGGCCAAGCAGAGCTCGCTGCGCTCCAGCCCGCGGGGCATGTTCCGTCGGCTGCAGAGCTGCTACTGCTGTGACGAGAGGACAGAGGGCGAGGAGGCGGCCGAAAAGCCCCGGCGGCACGAATGTCACAAGGGCGAGTCCCCGCCGCAGGAGCCGGCGGGCGACACGCAGGAGCACTGGCTGCACGAGGCCTGTGCCGTATGGACCGCTGGGGTTTTCCTGGTGGCGGGGAAGCTCTATGGGCTGCAGGAGGCTGTCAAGGCGGCTGCCGACCTGGTAAGAGCTCGGCCGCACGCCCGAGGCGGCATCTTCCGCTGGCCTCCTTCAGCCAACGTCGTTCCCGTGTCTGCGCCTCCGGTCGGGATGAAAATGAGTAGTTCTGCCCGGGAGAGGTGCTCAGCACCGTGAGCCCTGCTGGGGCCCTGCGAGATTCGTGCTGCTGCGTCTCTGATAGCTCCTGAACTCTCCCTTTTAGAGAAATAACCTACGGTTTATGTCTTAGGAAGGCGACTGGGCCCCCCTGGGATTGTCACATCCCCTGGCCCAGTCCTGTGTTGCGCGGGGTGGCTCAGAGCAGGACAGATGCTGCAGGGTGGGAGATGGAAAGGGGCACGACACGGCCTGATGCCACCGTGATGGGCAGCGGGGGAAAGGGAAGTGCAGGGAGGAGATGACCCTGCCCTGCTCCTCTCCCGCAGTGGCTGGAGTAAGGCCACATCGTGTGAGCAAAACGGGGAGGTTGCTGAAGGGGATGAGAGTTGTGGCTGGCCCATTCCTGGAAGCGTTCAAGGCTGGATGGGGCTTGGAGCAACCTGTTCTAGAGGAAAGTATTCCTGGCTGTGGGAGGGGGCTGGAATGAGTCTTTTTCAGGTCCTTCCACACCATTCTGGGATTCTGTGACATGGATTTTTAATGCTGGGGAGAAGAAGGGGACAGCCTCCCATCAGAGGCCGTGCAGGGGGTTTCCAGCAAGTCCCCCAGTGTCAGGTTTGAGGGCTGGCTGTATTCCCAAGCCTGTGTGCTCATTTCATCACTGTCTGGAGGCAGCCATCCTCACCACAGAGGCGGGTGCTCCCATTCCTTTAGCACCCACTAAAGTGGGACGGGGCAGGTAGGGCACAACCCAGGTCATGTCCCTTGACCTCCTGCCTCATGGAGTATGGCTGTGGGCTCAGTGTCATCCAGGGGAGTGGTATGGCAGGTAAAAACCTCGTGCATGGCTGCAGACAACTGAGTGACAGGCATGGTGTGGTTCACAGTGCGCTGGCACGGGAGGAAGAATGTTGGCTGAAAGAGGCAAGGAGGGGCTGGAGAGGATCAGGGACACCCGTGTTGCCCTCGCTGCTGGGGCCGTCGTGGTTCTCTTCTCCTGTGCTGGGCTTTGACAGGGTCTCTCTGTCTCTCCACATCTCTCCTTGCCTGCTCCGAATTCCCGGGTGCGTGTACAGAAGTGCTCGAGCTGCCAGCAAGCAGGAGCCACCGTGGGCTGCTGCCAGAAGGGGTGTCCCCACACCTACCACTACGCGTGTGCCATCGACACAGGTGAGCCCGGCCACAGGGATGCGACACGGGGTCCTGGGCACTCTGTGACACAGCTCAGTGAGGGGCCCGTTGCTCCAGGGTCTGGGGTTTGTGGCTCGCTGTCTTGCCAGGGTGGTGATGCCCACTGTGCTGGCAGCACTGACAGGTGTCACAAGCTTGTGTGGCCTCAGCTGAGCCCTTCACACAAACGCTGTGGCTGGTGGGTGGCCGTGGACCGCGGGGACACTGCATTCCCCTGCTCAGGAGCAGCTGCCTCACAGTGCAGGCTGTCCCCTGACACATCCTTGTCCTCTCCTCACAGGCTGCTTATTAACTGAGGAGAGCTTCTCTCTGAGATGTCCCAAACATAAGGTAAGCCAGGGCCCCCTCTGCACCCCTCAATGCTCTGCAGCTCCCTGTGGCAGGAACTCCTGCCTTCAGACCCCAAATTCCTGGGGACACCCGCCCTGGATGCTCAGTTCAGTGTGGGCACCACATCCTTGGGGATATCGGGTGGGCCAGCCACTGGGTCTGGGGCACCCCAGACGGATCTGAGGGGTCCTATCCCCTTCCCTGAGCACCGACGAGGTGGTGAACGATGGTTGAACCCCTTCTCAAAGCGCTGCGTCCCGGGTGGATGCCCGGTTATCGGCGGGGAGGGGGCGATGAGGACAACCCAGGGGATTCTCCGGCGGGATTCCCGGGCTGACAGCTCCGTTCTCCCCGCAGAGGCAGCCGGTGTAGCGCCCGCGGGCAGCCGCCCCGCCGCCAGCGAGGGACCGCAGAGGAGGCAGCGCCGGGAGCAGAGCGGGGCCGGGCCGGGGACCCCCGAGCCCGCTCCGGCGGGCGGAGCCAGCGCCGGGCTTTCCCTTCCGCCGGGTCCCGGTAAAACCCGGTCTGGAAACGCGTGGGACGGATCGGGATCTCCCACCCGCGATGGCTGCACAGGGGGGCGGGGGGTGTCCGTGTTCAAGGGGGGGTCCCGGCGATGTTGTCTTACTGTGGGGCCGCCGGACCCTCCGTGGGTCCCGGCTCTCAATATCACACTGATCTGATCTGAGATGTTGCCTTCAGCAAACCTCATGGTGTCTGTATATAGTTCAGCGAAGATGATTGAAAAAAATACATTAAAAAAAAAAAAAAAGAGAAAAATTAGGAAAAAAAAAAAAAAAAAAAAAAAAAGAGAAAAATTAGGAAAAAAAAAAAAAAAGGCAAACAACGGCCTGCTGTTTGAAACACCACTCTGCTTTTTCCGTTTTGTTCTTCCATCTCCTGTTTGCCCCCACCCACACCCAGGGTACTGGGGCACTAAGGGTACTCGGTCAGACTGGTGGGCATCCACCAGGCTGCCCCAGCCCCTCTCCCAAATCCCAAACCCTGACTCATTGCACCCCCCACCCTTCCACTCCATGTGGCGCTGGCACTGCTGGGCTGGGGACACCTGGTCCTGCTGTCCAGGACCCCCCAAAACTGCCTGTGCTTGGCTTCACCAGCACCCCTTCTGTGGCTCCTCTTGTGGGGGCTTTGCTCCCTGTGCTTGTGCTGAACCCCACAGCTCTGCGTGCTGAACTGGAGGAGGAGGAGGAGGCGTTTGTTTCCTCCCTCCACATGGGCCTGGCTCACCCCTCACTGCCCTGGGTTTGCTCAGCTCCCTCGGCTTTTGCTTCCTGGCCACCTCAGTGGAGCTGGGGGACTGCCCACCACTTTGCTGACCCCTGCCCACATCCCCAGGCTCCACAGCCTCCCTTTGTGTCACCCACACCCCGACACAGGTAGCAACCAGCCCAGGGTGAACCAACTCCAAATCTCATCCTAAAAACAGCCACTGGCTGTCCCCCAACCTCTGCAGCATCCTGCAGAGGGGGGCACACTGCTGCTCCCATCCATGTCCTCCACAGAGCCAGCGCCCCATGTCCCCACCGCCTCTTGTGTCCCCTCCATCCCACCCACCCCAAGGTTTGCTGGCCACACAATGTCTGTTGTTTCAGCAGCTGCCTCGGACACAGGAGTGAAAAACAAAAAGAGGAGGTGAGAAAAAAAATTTTTAAAAAGGTAGAAATAATAATAATAATAATAAAAAAATTAATTTAAAGAAGAAAAAAAAAATCTCCCGTGTCCTTGGCAGTGTTGCCTGAAATCTGGCTATTTTTAGTGACATCTTGTACATATGACTGTAAAATGGTAAACCGTGTGTATTATATATTGCCTCATTATATAGTGTATATATATGTATACATATACATATATATAATATATATGAAGACTGTAAATGTTAAGACTAGTGTTCTTATTAGTATATTGCTTCACACTGAAGATTGTGTGTAACAAGCTGTTTCTAAAAGATGTTTATTTTCCTTAAGAGTAAAAAAACAGGTCATTGCATTCAGAGCGTCAATAAAGATACAACGATTGTTTTGGAAGTACGTGGCGCCCTGCTCATGGCCTCTCTTTATCCTTGGGGGGCTGCTGGGGTCCCCCCCGGGATGTGACAGCACCCGTGGGACACCACAGGGTAAAAAGGGGGTGTTTGGGATCCCTCAGCACCCAGTGTCCCCATCCCTGCCACCCCTGTCCCCACAGGGCAAGGCGTCCACAGCTGTGGGGGGCCCCTTGTCCCCCACTTTTGGTGTCGGTCCCCCTCCAATCCAGCACACACCAGTATAAATAATCAGCTTTAATTGTCTGTACAAAACTGTCCGACTATGAAAATACCGTTTAAAAAGGGAAAAGGGGAGTGGGGGGAGGCGAGGGGAGGGGGTCTATGTACAAGAGGGGGTGAAGCAAGGACACGGGGGTACCCGCCAGCCCCCCAGGAGCCCCGTGCCACCCTGCCACCCCTTCTCCCAAAGCGTGTCCGTGCTCCGGGGTGGTGGCAGCTCTGAACGGGGGGGGATCAGTGCTGGGAAGGAGAGAACAGCGTAGGGTGGGGGTCCCCCCTTGCCTTCCACGGGCATGGCTGGGCAGGGGGCACTTCCCGGTGCCATGGGGCCGCACCTCCAGAGGCAAACCCCAAACACGAGGGGTCCTGCAGCAGTGGGACCCACGGGGGGCCAGGA